AAACAACATTGCGGGTTCTACAAACCATGGCCAGTTCAAGGTCAGAGAATAAGACGGAATGAGGACAAATGTGATGAAGTATTCTCCGTACCGAAATAACGCGAATTCCATAAACACAATCAACAATTATATTGGGCTCCACGCTTTGCCCATTCATCTGTAACTGTATGCTGTCATTGTATGTTTTCATGATCACCTCTTTAGAGCCATATACTCTGGCGCATCAGTTTGGTAGTTTTCGGGGGGCGAGATGGCTCGAGTGATTAGAGCGCGAATTTACTGACCGGAAGATCCATGGTTCGAACCCAACCTCTGCCACTCGACTTCCCCCGTCTAGGCCTGGGCGACCTGGCAGCATCCCAGTACTCGTGCTTCTTTTGGGTGGCATGGCAGCTAGGCACCAAAAGGGTGTTACAGCTGAACGATTCCTATTCATTTATTTAATTGGACTCTATTCTACCGGTCAGATCGTCGTGCCCTATACAGCTGTTTTTATCATTCCTGGTCTCTTCTAAACAAAACTGTAGCAGCTGGAATCAGGCCACTTTTGATACGCGGCTTGCGGTTGAGAACATAACTGACTAGTGTGCGAAACCTCGATGTGAGCATTCCTGCCAAATATTTGACTATGGATTCACACAGTCTTGGGGTCGTCACACACACAGAGATACATCTTAGTGTTCATTGACTTCCGGAATGCGACCAGCTGTTCACTTGTCTATCTTTTGAACGGGATTATCGATTACTATGCCCTATTGAAATGCTCTGTGGCAGTGCTCACGAAGCTCCACAGGGAATCGCGCTCAACCTCTCTGCTGATAGTTGTGGGCGAAATCACTCCTTCGTGACTGACCACATCACACTTTCATAGGATGCAGCGGCACTCATCCTCCAACCGTGTTATTCACATCACGCGGTCATATTTGAAGTGGCTTCTCGGCTGATGAATTCGCAGATGGATGGTTCATTTGTTGTGTGTATTACTCGTGCATTACTCGTGGTTTGTTGGCAACATGAGGAGGTTGAGAACTTTCAATTGAGCTCTCATTCTGGTCACGGTCAACCTGTGCCGAATAATGGAGAACCAGTGTACATCTGTTTCATCCTTAGTGGGTACCATCGGATCTCACTAATTCCCAATTCGATGCGAAACCGTAGCCTACCAGTCGGTAGTCGAAGACTGCCGTCGCACCATGAGCGCCTGATCAGCAGTGTGACTGCTTCACACACACACACACTTCGATTAGATGTAACGTCGCTAATCCGTCATTCGTGCAGTTCATATTGCGTGATTACGTGTTGACTGACTACTCGAATGATGACTTTTCACATGGGAGACTCGCGTGACCTATGAGATGTCTTCCGTTCTGAGCATATTACTTATGGTTTCTTACTACCATGAGAGGAGTGTGAATTTTCACGTAGACTGAAATCTCACAACTCAGTGTTTATCAAGTTCCAAAAGTGACCATTTTCCCTTGTTATATGTGAATGCACGATTAAGCTTTTATTTACGTTCATTTGGTTGACTTGAAGGCCCGGGCTCGTGTTGACTTGAATGATGGGTGCTCATAGCCATGATAAAACTCACCACTTTTTGCACTGGTTTTCCTCCGTCACCGCCATGCGAGGATTCATCCAGACGGATTGAGAAAACCAGATGCTCATGAAACTGTCTCAAAATGTCCGGAAGTTTTGATTTCCCCGATGCATTCGTTGAAATACTTCCTTCGAAAAAAAAGATTTCGGTGCCCCAGGTGATGTTTCCTTGAGCGGACAGCCTAGAAGGCTTCTGAGTTTGTCCAGTCAACTGGTCCCTATCGTAGATGTGTTCTATCCTCATTCTGGTTCCACCTTTTTATCCTAAGAGTAGGTGAGACTCCAACCAATTGCCATTTCCGGACGTGTTTTACAAAGAGAGCAGGAGATGTGCGCGTTTCACTTACACTAGCATGATTACTAATTGGGATCCGTCGTATCGATAGCCGTCAGCTGTATTTCTCGGGTGTGTGCTTCCGATCCACTCATCAGCACAAAATGTTGCTGAGTTTCCTGTAAGAGATCACAATGTGATCGTGCACTGTATCGAGACATCGAATCTCATCAAAAACGAAAAATGTTTCTGGCTCTTCATGGTGTAGTGACGGTTATTTGACGTCAGTGGCTTCGTGATGATGATGATGACGACTTCACAGCTCAGCGATTATGCCTAAAACCTTCATCTAATCGGATTTCATGAGCGAACGGAGAGTGACGCGTTGGTCGGTTTTCATTGGCTGTGGGTGTTTCCGTATTTCACGCCGTGAATAATTAAAACTAATGCGTAAGTTGCACACAACCCATAGAATTGTCACGGCTAGTGTTTATCGTATGTTCTTAAACTGGTTCAATAGAAGATGCCAACTTTTCTGGCCTATTCGCACCCAGATAGCTATCTCCGTGCTGTCAACGTGTGGGTTACCTGAACGTAAACGGTAGTCTTTCGTCTTTCCTAGCACATCTGCTCACAGTTTTCCCATTAGTTTCCGGAACTACTACTCACCGTGTTGGTTGAGTACCTTTTGAATTGGCGTTGCCATATAATTCTAATTCACAAAAGCGGTCATTTAACGTTTACCCTGTATCGTTTCGTCGTCTTGTCCTATTTTGAATCGGAACTTTTCGTGCTTTATGGTTATGCTTTCGCTTAGATTGGAGGCGTCTTGCGTTGTGAGTCAATAAAATGGTGACAAGATGCTTGAGTCGTACATGAAGATTACAACAGACAGCACATCCCAGGGTCCTTGTGAGTCGGCGAGCTCACAAAGTTGCCCCAAGGGCCGCACTTGTTGCCGCATCCGTCGCAAGCCGAACCAATTCACTCTAAACGCTGGTTTGTCAAATTCCATTACAGCACTATGAAACCACGCAGTCTACTAGATTTGCCTGCTGTTTGTACGCTTGTTCCAGCAAATTACTGTTTCGTTTTTAGTTAAAACGGCACGGTGTGGACAGTAAGGGACAACTGTGGATAGGACGCGCATAACTCGCTGAATAAAATTTGCACGTCTGTATATATCAGTGTGGATGGTAAGGCTGAGGTAGCTCATAGGTTGATTCCCGAACCTATTGACCAGAAGGTCCGTGATTCGAACCCGACCATCGCATCAAACGCTCCTGTCTATGCTCGTGCAACCGTTGAGTTCGAATGGGTACAATCAACTGCTATACGCGAATTGAAAACGAACAAACAAATTCCTAGTTACGGCACGCGCTCAACAGCTGTCGCGGAAAGAAGGCGGGACGTTCGAAGGAGAGCGCTCTAAGGAACGATATATGCGTTAGCACACACAAAGTCGCTAAGAGCGAAACGCGGTCTTTTGGGAAGATGTCTAAGATGGCGGAAAATGGCGCGCAAAGTCAAAATTCAAATTTTTCGGAAAATAGCTTAGCAACAATCCAATAATTAAAAAGTTTCTGGGAATACTGATATCCGTAGCATCAATCTGACAGTATCTCGATCCCAGTGCTGCCTTCGGATGATGTGGCAGTTAGGAACCAATGGGGTGTTACACCTGAACGATTATTTATTCTCAATTGGTGGGATGATAATCACCGAAAAACAACCCCCGGACCAAAGTGACATTGACATATATGTTGGTAATTGATCAGGTGGCTGTTGATCTGTTCGCCGAGCTTGCCAATTGATTTGCAAACGTTTCGTCACCATTCGAGGAGACATCTTCAGTGCGCCGTTGGTTGGGTAGTTCCTCTCTTCGTGCCTGCGCTTATATAGTCTACAAAGAGCAGCCTTTGCGCTGTAACCTGGATTCTGATTGGCCCGTTCTCGATCTGTATTGCGTCGTGGTCGGCTTCTCTGTTGGTTTGTGGCGTGCTTGCTGTTCTATTGATTTCTTTGCGTCCTTGTTCGGCCTCGGGTTCTGTGGTTCTGGATTTCCTTTGTCCTCAGAGGCTGGTAGGCAGGATCAATCTCAATGCGCCTGTTTATTGCTCCATCAGTGGAGTACCAGGCCTCCATGAACTCGCGTTCTTTGTTTGTTCTTGCCTGGCCCAGTATTCTGACGTTATTCCAATCGAAATGGTGTCCTTCCCCATCTTCGTGTGCAGAGATGAGAGAGAGTTGGTCATGTCTC